AGCCAAATCCTGAAGTGAAATCACCTTTTTTTTCCCCCCTTCAACATATGATCTAAACAAGTACAACGTTCAGTCAAGATCTGATCTTAATTTCTTATTTCTCACATTTTACTTCAGTATAATTTAGCTACTATAAAGAATGCTTTGGGCATTGGCATAGGCTGGCTAAAGGAGATGAAAAATTTTGCAAATATTCTTTTTTTTGCAAAAATGGAAGCAAAAGCCTTCCTCTAAATACTAAATGGAAAAAAATGCCTACCCATGGCTGAGTCAGCTCTTTATTTCTGAAGTTGTTTGGCTTTATCCCCAGAAGTTTCGGGATTTTTTCCCCTCCTTAGTTCAATATATGTACTCTGTTTATAGAAGATTTCTTTTTAACATGAGAGGTTTTACAATTCAAATATTTATCCCTTTAATGTCTACGACATGAAGAAAAAAAGAAAAAAAAAGTGTTCATTCCCAGCTCTTTCTGCCTTTATACACACAGAGCCTAGAAACTTCCATTATCTACCAAGCTTAAAGGAATACCTACACAAAAGGATAAGAAAACTATGAAAAGTAGATGACTAAAATATTCTGTGTTTCAGGAAGAGAAGCTTCTGAATGTTTTTCAGTGTTACATCCTTACTACTGGGTATTCACAGCACAGTCCCAGTGACACCTACTTGAATGAGATATAGCCAGAGGATGAGGCTTGCTGAGATTTGTGCTGAGATGGAGCTGCTAGTTATTTTCTCCAGGGACTACTGCAGTTCAGATTCTGGCTGGAAAACAGACAATCTTGGAAGAGGGCAGGGAGAGAGGCACAGTGCACATGGAGGGAGAAATGCATGAACACTGAAGCCAGAGAAGGTGTAAAGGCTGGAAGGCTGCAGCCCCCACGTCTGACAGCCCTTGCTTGGACAGCAACATCCTGCACTGGCCATCACAGTGCAACTGCATTAGAGATCCCTGTTATTCACTTGCAAATCACTTGAATGTTTTAATTATGTAAACCTCCCTGGTGCTTCCCTTCCTTGTTTCTCCCAAACTGCCAAAGTGCAGCTTGGATCTGTATTACTTTTAAACTTCTGTGGAAGAGGCTAAAGCCAAGACCTACTAACTGATGGAATGTGTGCAGGCTCCAGCCTTAGGAGAAGGAAAGCTGAAAGCATCTCGAAAAAATAGCAGGTATCTTGCAGAGTGCATCTATGTCTCTTTATTTCAGTTGTACTGGAACAGGTTAATGGCTTTCATTACATTCTCTAGCTGGACATACAGAAACAAGATATAACATTAGTGGGAATGAATGCTTATCTAGTTACTGATATATTGGCATTGCAAGGAATAAACATAATTTCATACATACGGAGACTGCTATAGTCACAAAACAATTTCAGGGCCAAAAACAGGCTTAAAAAATGTAACTAGCTACCACGAAAGACACAAGAATAGCATATTTAAGAAGAACTTGTACTAGCTGGATACTGTACCATTCTATGACTGTAGTCCACTACTAATCCCAGGTAATACATAGCAAAATATGCAGAAATAATTGCATTTCCAACAAATAAATTTCAATCAACTAAAGACAATGAAAAATTCCAGGTAGACTGCTCAAGAATTTAAAGAGCATAAGAGCATAAAGAGCACACATAACACACAATCAACCTACAGTTTACAGGCAGTAAGTATAGTTTTTTTCAACACTGTGGTCATGGGTTTAATGCAATTAAAAAGCCTCTTAAGGAATCTTAACATTGAACTTCCACAATAGCTTTCCAACACATTGAAAATCTTTGTGAGCATAAAACCTACCCACAGAATCAGCAGAGTTACGTCACCATAAAACTCTTCTCCATTATGTTAAGGTTTCTATCACCTAAAAAACACCCTGAAGTGAGAAATAGTGACATTTCAGTGAGACAGGACAGAGTGAGGCAAACTGCAGGTCTTTCATGTGTCAGAAAGTGCTCTGCATTCTAATTAGGATTTCTGCTGGGATCCTAGGAGATGAAAGGGTGTTTTTAAGGCTGACAGTTAATGGTGGGGGGGGACTATTCAGAAAAGAACAAAAAGAGGAGCACTGAAAGCAGATGACATCATGCTTCACAGTGGCCTTCACCATCTTACTGACATGTCCCACAAAGTAGCAGAGCAGTTTCCACAGAGCTATTCTTGAGAGCTCCAGATCCTCTAGGAAGACAGTATGGCTGGAAACACATTGCTTTAAAAGCACAGAAGGTTGAAACAGGGCTAAATATAATGCATATATCATATTTCAGGGCCCTATATACATTATAATGCTCCACAATACCCTATATTCTGCCTGACACAACACATGTTAAGTCTCCGCTCTACAGAGTTTACAACTAAAATTTCTAGCACGCCCATCATCAGGAAAAAGTCACACAGGGAGCATGGAAATGCCATGTATTTCCCTCAGATTCTCCCCACCAGCAGTTTGCCCTTTTCGATGAGGAACAGCTCCCAGCCTTGCAGGCCGCTTGGAACTGACTTCTTCTCAGATGGCTGGGGGCACCCAACACTGGAGAGAGGCACCAAAATCCACTCCCCTTACATTCTGTAGAGATTAGAGGGGAAAAATGCATAGCACCTTGTTTGGGGACGTTCTGCTATTTATGTCCAGGTAAATGCACATATAGCCACGTTATCAGAAAATAGACAGCAGGGATCTGTAAATCTTAGGCAGTATCAATGAAAAAGGTTTTTTTTATTATTTCTTCTTTCGCTTTTCTACTCTTAAAGGCTTACCCTCATTACATAAAGCAAAAAGAAGATCCTGCTTTGAACTGTTTTTCATTCACATTAAGGAAGTGACAAGCCAAAAAAAAAGAGATTCCTTGTCAAAGCTTGTCTATTCCTTAACTCTGCCTTGCTACTGCCTCCTTTATGCCTTGTGGCGTGGCTGTCTAGAGTCTGTGCAGTGCTCTTTTTCTGTGTCAAACATCCTCCCAGCTGCAAAGAGATCTCTTTATAAACATGTCCTTCATTTGAACTCCAGCCTAAGTGCAAAATGTAAAGAACAATAAAAGAGACTTTGCGGATACCAACCATTTCTCCTGTTTCCTGAAGCTCACACGCTTATTTTCATTTGAAAGGGAAACTGATGTTGTAATTGGGATTTTTACATTTTCACATGAATTGCAGACCTTTCTGCACTGTTTCATTACCTGCATATTAATGCATTTTGAGAACAAGTAGTTTCATGGATGACAATGGAATGAAGTCTCCTAGAGAACTAATGTTAATATCACCAAAAGACTAAACATTTTGCAACGTGCAAAACAAGCAGCATCATAGCAACACTTACAAGAAAAACCTCTGACTGATGCCTGTCTGACAAGCCACATTGCACATCAGTATGTTTCTATTTTCTCCTCCCTATCTATTAAAATATGCATCAATGACTTATATTTAATGTGCACATAACCATCATCTCACCAGCCACAAGAATACGCTTATTTGTTAGAGAAGTGGTAAATAGCTGTAATTATTTTTGAACTGCCAATCTCTCCTTAGAATGTGGCCTTATGAATAAATTCATATTTTAACCAAACACAGATGAACAGTGGGAAAATTATTTATATGCTAGGATTCCTATTCTACCTATTCTTTCCTTTTTATTAAAGTAGTTTTGCTGTGTGGGGTTTTTTTTTTTTTTTTGGTCATTCACTCTGGACTTCTTGCTTTCAAGAGGGAAGAAAAAGCCCATAAGATACACCAGATATGAACAGCTCACTATCTGTTTTTCATCTACACCATTTTGAGACTGATCAATTAAACTACCTTCCCCTTGATCTCTAGGCACTAAAAGATCCCTTATCCTATAGAGCTCAACTTGACCAACATGAACTGTAGTCTGCGGAGCACAAACTATATTAGAATATTCAAATATGTTAACAGAAGGTATCAGCAGAACACGTTTAAAACAAGCCAAAGAGAGTGATGACAGGGTGCCCATAGATTTTGTCTGATATCATTAATGATACCTTGATCAGAGGGAATAAAAGTTTCCACATTCTGTGAGAGAGTCTTCCTCCTCCTTTTATATTTGATTTTAAGATACTGTGAGTACTAGCAAACAGGGTTTACTGCAGTTCAGATACTTCCGTGCTAGTAGCAGAAGTTCATAATCAGAAATCTCAAATCTAATGTAGTTGTGCACATACATCTATACATATACTTAGAGATGGTAAATATCTTTGCTAAAATAACAATAATTATTATTTATAAATAACATCCTGACATTATTTGTAAAGTAAATGTTTTCTCATTAACTCGGAAAAGATCAGTAACTTTCTTCATCAGGAAACCCAGCTTTCAAAATGCATATGTAACCACTCATAAAGTGGCAATTTATTTTAGTGATCAGCAAGATTTACTGCCTTCTCAGAGTCAATACTGAAATGTTTTGACCTGACACAAGTAAGCACTCAATTTGATGCTAGCAGAAAAGGTACCAAACATACTCAATAATCATAAAAAGAATTGCAAAAAAAAACCCAAATCCTTGCATAAGGGGGACTACACAGCGTATCTGGAACACATAAAGTTCTTTGTGGATAAACAACTACACTTTCTTAAATCTTGCTGACTTGATCATTACCACAGCAACGCGGCTCCTCTCATTCTGAGGAAACAAACTTCGAAGCTTCTCTGAGTAGTACACTTACACACACAAACACAAAAAAAGCGACAGAAGGAAAAATTGCGACTAGACAAAGTTCCTTATGATTTCAGCATCCCTAATTTAAGTCATTTATGGTAGCTGTATGAGCTGTTCTGCCGACAATGCCAGAGGTCAGCAAAGAGGGCAGCTTAAACAAAAGCAGTTTTCAAAAGACCCTCAGCACTGAGTTACAAGACAAGCAGACGCATCTGTTTTGAAACACAGAAATCTAAGCCAGCATAGGAAAGAGTTAGAGCCTTAAAATATCAAGGCTTTGTGATATTTACTTGTATGTCTCCAAGTTCACATCTGGAGAAAAGACACTTACTTGTAAAGGTAATATTCAGCTTGATCCACTTCCTCTCGTGAAGAAATGTTGTCCTCAAACTGAAAAACAAAAAGTATAGGCTTCA